TTAAAATTTTCTGGAAATACAGTACTGACTAAGTAACCGATTTAGCAGAAAAGGGGGGGGGGTATTAATTATATCGAATAGCAAACATATAAAGTTACGGTGAAGAAAGATTTTTTCTCTATAACTATAGACTTTACATACATGTATTATAGTAGCGAATATTCTGTAGTGCATTACATTTTAAATAAATATTTCCTTTAAACACACTATCAATTTAATTCTCTCCAAAGATAATAAATTAACAGGATATCCGCAGTACTATGTATAACTCTCAGAACTAGTTCTATCATATTTTCTGTAGTAATTGAATAAAAAAAACGCGTTAGAAATAAATATTTTCGTAATTTTGCTGCGTAATTATTTGACTTGGATAATTATATCTCCATTAACGATTTGTCGTCTTTAACAAAACATCAAAATGTTGCAGTGCTTGAAGTATTTGCACATTGGCCTTAATTAAATTTAATATTTCAGCATCGTTCTACATAGGTACAGGATGTGCTTATAACAACATTTTTTTCCAGAGTAATTTAATAAATAACCTAATAGCTAAGTTAGAATAATAAAAATATATATATTAGATTTTTCCCCCATGAAATAATGATTCTTCAAACACGATATGTTAGTATTAAATTAAAAAATCTGTAACTCCTTACCTACAAAAAGATAAGTCCTTTCACTTGGGAGTTCCGAATGGCAATGACCACTGAACGATAGGTGAACGCTGAACGCAAGGTGAACGCAAAGTGAACGGAACGAAGAGCGAACGCTGAACGCTTTGTGAACGGTGAACGCGAGCGCACGGTGAACGGTGAACGCAAAACTGTGAACGGAGAGCGAACGGTGAACGCACGGTGAACGAACGGTGAACGCACGCTGAACGAACGGTGAACGAACGGTGAGCGAACGGAAAAATGGGAAAGTAGAACGTTTCAGGGACTGTACTATCTCTTTAGATGTTTTTTTTCATTCTAATCTAATTTGTCACTAGTGAATGTAATGCTTTTTTTTCTATTTCTGACATTTTTGTTTTTAATTCGAACACATCTGTTGTGGCAGTATTCATTGTCGCTTCAAATTTGCTGATTCGTGATTCAATTTGGTCAAGTTTATCTAGTTTCTGAAAAACTTTGTCAAGTGTTTTGGCTAGATTATCTATTTTACTGCCGTAATCAATTGGCTGCATTCCGCCCTGATACTGTTGTACATGTTGTACTGGGGGTACAGGTCCTACGGGTGAAAAGCTGTATTTCATTACCGGCATTTGCGACATTTGTGGAATTTGATATGTATGATTTTGATTGCTTTGCATACTCTGATTGTTCACTGGGGTTAAAAATTACGGGTGAGAGATTCTTTATGTGTCTACATTGTCTACATTGTCTTGAGACGTACCCATAACACTTACTTTTCTTTGTTGCGCTTCACTGCTCACATTTGGGCCTTCTTTTCTTGCCTTTTTTGATTTATTTCCACCGCAACCACTTTCAGGTGTTTTAGGCTTCGTAACACACAGTTGATATTGTTAGATTAATCTCCCAAATCTTCCAAAGTTTGTTTTATAACAAAAAGATTATTTTAAATTCAGAGCTTAAAAAATCATGACTCTCATTCAGCTCACGCATGCTGAATATGATGCTGCATATCATTTAAACTAGACACCTATAATCAGTTGTGTTTTAAATACAAGTAACTTTATCTTTTAAATTTAGCAAACCTTTTTAACACATAACCTACATGTAATCTGTATTCCTTGACTTAAGGTACATTTAATATAATTGAAATTATAAAATACCGTGATATAATTCACCCACACAGTACATCATCTTCATTGATTAGAAGTCTTGGGAGTTCACCAATACGAAAGTCAAACTTTTGTTAACTTTTGATTTGGTCTCTAACTTTATTTTCCATCCGATAAATAGTCGTTTTTTCAGATATGATTTTCTTTGACAGTTACTTTCTAAATAGTTAAAGATTATTTCTACTCCCTCCAAAATTTAAGGAAAAAATACTAGTAGTTTAATAATGTTTCATTTTGAAATAATACCAATGAACCGATTTGAATATTAGAATTTCTTTTGATTTGTTATTTTGATATCAAAAGAATATAAGATTTAGTTTGGGAGATCCAATTACAAGAAGGTTTAATACATGCAAAATTCTGAATCATCTTTAAAATAGAAAGGTACACTGATTGCATGTCATTGATCAAAACATAAGTGCAGCAAAAAGTACTAACATTAAGTTTCATACCAAAGTCATAAACTGCTACTTATTCCACAAGGAAGAAGTGCATTAAGATTCAACATCCCTCTGTTAACAATGTAAAATTTTATTTAAATCCTAATGAATTTCCAAAAGGAATTCAATTTATAAATGAAATACACTTTCAGCATAGATTGCCGGGATACAAGAATTGACAGAAATTGGTTTATTAACTTGACAGTCTTATAAATAATAGCTGTTTATCCCGATGAAACTTATCTTTCTTATCAAAGGGTCAATGAATCCTTAAAGATTAAGATAAAGCATTAACAGGTGGTCAACTATGTTCAGCATTTCAAGCTGAAAATCATTTTGAAATGAATTATTTTAGTACGTATAGATGAACAAAGGCCGTTATTTCATCTGTGTAAACTGCAAGGAAATGCATCGGGGATGAAACAAAGCATCTGCAATAAATATGATCTAAAAGGCTATAAAATTGCAAAGTATTTTCATTTTAATTGTATTGAAATATTTTAATTTTTATATCTAATTATCAATGGAAAATAGAATTAGATGTATTTTTCCAACTGAAAAAAAGTAAAGTGCTTTAAGCTACTGAAGACTCAAACTATTGCAAAAAGATAGATGTAAGAAACTCATACATGATGAGGTAATCGGTAATTGTGCAGCACTTATCTTTACGAAAAGCCAAGGACACATACCCGTAATAAAACATGTAGATTACCCATGATGACCAGTCAAATCTGATGTATACATGTAATTTCTTATCAATAACTTTAACGAATGTAGCTTACGGCTGTTATCGTTAAATGGTGTTACTTGGAGCTGTCTGGAGGTAAGTAATTTCGCAGTACAGTTAAGGTGCCAAATGGAAATATCGGCGAATTTTTTAAACAGAAAATACATTCTTTATAAGGGTGGGTGATTCTTTTTAAGCCTTTACTATTATCGGACAAATGTAATGTGGCTGAAAACTACATGTTGAGGACGTTTATATTTCTTATTTAGATTTGTCACGTAATGTGGCAGTCACGTGATTTTAGCAAATATACCTGTAGTATTGAGGTCATCTATAAATTCCAATATTGCAAGGGCATAACCAAGTTAAAAATCTAAGTTTAATTTATAATTATTTTCAACACTCTTTGTAGTTTGTGAAAAGTGCTGTGAACCTATATAGCTTCTAGTATATAATTGCTAAAATTACATTTGTTAGACCGTATGTTGAATATTTTGCTGGTCAAGTACATTAAATGTAGATATAATTAATTCATTTGCAAGATTTCATCAGGTTCGCAGCACTTTTTAAATATCTTCATACCTCTTGAGTTTATGTGTAAAAGCTTGTCGTTATTCATTGAGGGTATGCCCTTGCAATATATCGATTTATTACGACCCTTCTATTACCCTTAAATGAATCTGCATGCAAATGTACGGCAGTTTCACTTGTCTAGGAATGCACGGGAAGTATATGAATAAAATCATAAAACAGACATCGCATCCAAGTTAATGGCCTCTTATATATCTATAATTTATATTTCATTTAATTACAAAACACATTTTTCATTGTATAAAAAATAACTTGATCCGCCTCTCATTGCATACAAACTGCGTCAAATTTTACGATATGACGTCACATTGACAAGTTCATTGCGATCAGTGAATTGTTTATATATGACTGTGTGGGATTTAACCAACGACAAAACTACATCCAATAGTAAGTATTGATGTAGTTTAAAGCTATCCAACAGTTTAAAATAGCGTATCATTTCATTTTGTGGTAATTTGAAGACCATGTATTTTTGTGAGATGTCATAGTACTTAAGCATTTCCCGTAAAAATTAGGCCTCGCCTCCTTATTGCAGCCTTAACTGTGCTGCGTTATTATTATATTAGGTTAGAGAAAAAAATCCACGTAAAAAAATGTTGGTATTTGATAAAAATTACGATAAAGAATGACATATATAACATGCATGTATATGAAAAATGGGTTATCTCATCAGTCACATACGTTACTTAACCGTTATACTAAGACCACTACAACTCTAGAAATGTTTCCAGCTCCAGCCTTTTTTTCAAGAATGTATATTTATCTAAATCAATATCTTCTACATATTATGTAGGGTTTATCATTTCATCTTGGATGGGTCATATATATATATATATATATATATATATATATATATATATATATATATATATATATATATATATATATATATATATATATATATATGATGTTCCTCTATAAAATAATTTGACTATATAATTATTGGTCTCTGCAATCATATACAAATAAGCCCCTTACCATATTTAGGAGAAAACCGCGTATGGTCAGCCCTTTTAACTATATAATTTATAAATTGATACCTTTAGACAAAAGCATGCCTTATTCATGCAGTAACATCTATTGAACAAGCAAGCCCTATATGCGTACTAAAGGTATTTGAATTCCAGATATAGAAGTTACTGTGTTAATGCCTTATTCAGAACGGACAGTGAACTGCTTATGTCTGAGGTCTTATTCCTTCAGTCATTCGGTGAAGGAACGACATAGAGTTAAGCAAACCCTTATGAGGTCAACTTTTAACTTCTAAACTAATTTATAACTCATCAAGCGAAGGGTTAAAGAGGCTGTTTAATTAGTAACAGATTACACCCTTTGACTAGGTGCAAATAACAAGTGTGAATAAATGAACAGTACCTAATTTTTTTTTAGCAATTTCCCCTTAACATTCCATTCAATGTTAAAAATTGCTTGATATGTAAATCACTTTACAGCAACAACGATCATCATCAGCAACGACGTCGGCAGAGAAAGGCAATTTGTCTAAAATCCAAGACTCAAATGGAAGTGTAACCAGAATCCTTATAAAGCAATCGTCTGCAGTTTTAAATCGGCATCATGTTGGAATATATTCTTACAGTTTTTATTGTGATTATGTGTGGATATACCGTCGTTAAAATCTTTGTTTTTAAAACAGAGAGCCCGCAGCCCCCAGGACCAAAAGGATGGCCAATAGTTGGGGTGGTGTTTGAGGTTGATATTTCAAAACTTCACATTAAACTTTACGAATGGGCGCAAATCTACGGCGATGTGTTCCAATTTGATTTATTAGGCCAAAAATTTGTCTGTATAAATTCAATAGATATCCTTAGAGAATTGTTTCTGAAAGAACCAAATGCCACTATTACTGCAGATCGTCCATTAACATTTACTGGTAAATATGTATGCGATGATTATGCGGATGTAGGATTTTCATCACCAAGTGTACTTTGGACAAAACGTAGGAAACTTGCGTTTCAACTTCTACATACGTATGGAAACGGACTAACTTGCTTGGAAAGTCAAATATTAAAAAATCTACAGACAATCAAAGATAATATTCGGTCTTTATCTGGGAAGAATATTTTCCCTGTCGACTTCGTCGATGACTTTATTTTCAGCACCGTTGAAGTTTTGGTAAGAATTACTGATCATTCAATATCAAACTTCAAAAAAATTGGTAGAAATTACATTTTTAATTATGTTTATTACTGTTTGCTTTAGTGAAATGGTTAATTTTGAAATTTTCTTGTTCTCATGCATCATTTCTCAATTCTTATTTCAACGTAAGTTACCTGTTATTGAACAGAATAAAAAGTGCATAGAATAACACGCATTTACTGCTTTTAGTGTTTCTAACAGTTCAGGTTAGAAATACTGAAAGCAGATACTATCTTGCAGATTTGAATTAGTCTATAATAAGTCGTGTTGTTAAAGATAGGCTATATTTAATTAGTTAAGTAGAATCTGAAGACAGAAGATTTTTTAAAGACGTCATCAATCAAATCAGAGGCGTGAAGATGTACTAGAAACAGTAAATCTTCTACAGTAGCATTCTAATTAATTTTCATATTTAACCACAATTTTCAGGTGAAAACCTTTAATTTTAAAAATTGCAATTATTGATGTTAATTAATAGAAGAAATGATGAAGCTTTATCGTTGTTTTGAAAGGGAAACTTTTTTAAATTTTCAACAGATAATTGGTCGCAGTTTTGGAAAAGAGGGTCCCCTGCGCAATCTTCTAATAAAACAGAATGATTTGGTGAACAAGGTTGCCAACCCAGGAACAGATTCAATCTACGCTGTGTTTCCTTTCCTCCGATTTTTGCCTCTGTCTGTATCATTGGCTTTGCGAGAACTTAAAAAATCCCAAAGTTGTTTGTTGGATTTATTAGATACGTTATCGGTAATGCATTAATCAATATCATATTTAATAAACTGTTATATGCTCATATATACAGCGGAAATCAATATTGTTTTGGCCTGGTCTTATTCATTAAGTAACAGTGATCAAGACTAAAATCTGAAAGCTTTGTAATTTCTTTGTTTATTAAAGATATTTGTCCATAGAATTCTTCACAATATATTCTAATGAAGTAGAAAAATATGACTTTTGTGTCCCACTTAGGCTCCGGTAGTTTTGGAGTATTGTCTTACCGCGGCAGGTGTAAGATATTTTGTGAAAGGACTTCAAAGGTACACAGAGTACAAAACTGTAAATATTATCAACAGAGAATAGGCTAAACCAAGAAAAGGACTTAATATCCAGCGATGTCCATAATTATACTACTGATTGCATACGCAAAGGGTTGGGTTGTTTTTCTGCTACTCTCTACATAAAAAAATAAATCAATTGCACGATTAGTTGAATCACTGTACGTACAGCAGTATACTTTAATGAGGCTGGGCGGACAACGAAGTATACAACAGATTCATATTGAAAAATATGAAATATGATTTTCTAGCCTTATGCTATTATTTAATAAAGAAAAACCATGTGTTCCAGCTAAATATTTAATGTATAATATCCTATATTTTTATAAAGAACTCTTATTTTGGATGTTTAAATAGTCTGTAAATGGTCCTGACCACTCAGACATCTTAAAGTACGAGGATGATCCAAAGGTTTGCAAACTAATTGAATAACTTCCATAAAAAAATCAAGCTAGGTTTCAGTGTTTATCTTTTTTTTTTAAAAAAAAACCCTCTTGTTTTAGTACATGTTTTAGTACACACATGCCATCGTTCTGCCAATGCACGAAACACAGAGTCCAGATGGTCATGTAACATGCTCCGCAGCGTACTGTTCAAAGCAGCCCAAAAATTTACCACGCAGGTTATTTTAGTAATAGGAATAGCCCATATGTCACAAATTGCCAAATTTCGGCCATATGATGGTGGGATTAGGATATCTTTTCCCAGTATTAGTATGGTGTCCATCACAACCCGACTCCTCTTTAATTCGTCGTGTTTCCGGTGTGGATCAAGAATGGTTCATTTCCTTTTATCATATCTGATTTGTTAACGGTCTAAAGTAACTGATATTTAAGTGGATTTAGATTTCCTTATTGTTAAGATATTCAACTATTTTTCTGACTGTGATTCGGCGATTCTTTATTACAAATTCCTCACATAAGGACACATCTCTTTCCAAGCTCCCTTTCACCGGGCACCAAAACAATCATCATATTTAACCATCTCCCTTCCATCACTAAAATAATCCATACAATTACTAATTGAATTTTTGGCACGTCTTTTCTCGCCATAAACCTTGTACAAATCATTATTAATTACTGCAAACGATTTTACGTAAAACTTTACAGCCGTTCCTTGCTCGAGTACGACTCGGTCAACCTTTTTTTTTTGTCACGTCATCTACATGTTGACGACATTTTCACATCGTACATGTAACGTCTTAAACAAGTAGCAAAATATTACGTTACACATTATTTATAGAACATGTTTATAAATATACATTTGCCAAATTTCATTCTGATCTGAATTGTGTTGATAGTTCACGAACTTTTTGATCACCTCTCGTGATTGTTAATAGTAAATATCCTTTATTACTTATAAATTTTAATGAATTATATGTTTGTTATATCTATCAAAATTTTTCATTTACAGCAGCGAAACTAGTTTTTAAATTAGAAAAGAAACTTTTACAACCCAAATAAACTAATAAAATATGGATTCTTTTAAGAAAGAAGAATGCGAAGAAAAGGGAATGTATCACACTATGAAGGAAGTAATGGAAGAAGAAGACAAGAGCGGGAAACCCTGGTTCACAGAAGTAAATCTGGCGGCATTATTACTGAACCTTGTTACAGCCAGTAAGTGTTAAAAGACATTTAATACTTTATATGGTTAATAAGTAACCTGTCCCCTAAAACAATTCAGCCTCATACAATGAGCTTTGCTGTGAGCCTTAAAAAGAATGTCATGTAAATATATTCAGGTCGAAGATGCAATTTCAAATATTCCACTGCTCAGCATGAACATTTTGCAAATGTATTAACAGACAGAGCATATGCTTTAGAGTATAAAAGGGGTGAATAAAATGTGACGTAAAGGACAGCAATAAAACACTGGTCAAAACTGAATAGAATACTGGTATTCTATCCTGTCCTGTTATTAAAACTTATGTATATGGACTTTTTTTATCATATGTATATCCTAAAATTAGAGCCTTGACTAACTTTCTTTTTAAATAAAAAAATAATATGTTCGATTTGCTTGAATAAGAAATTTAGAGAAGCTTTCCGATGCACATATTTTATTGAATTTCATTAAATTTTATGCTTCTACCATCACAACTCATAGATGGCCATTTGGCATTTGGCTATGTTCTATTATTTCATTTCTATTTTCTGGTAATAGAATGGCAATTACATATGGACTTGGAATAGGTTGCTGGGTGGGTAGGATATTTAAATTATTTGAAAATTTACACAAACGTAGAAATAAAGCTACTTTTACAGATCTCGCGTTATTACAGGTTTCCTGACGACTAGAGGAACACTTCTGTCACTGGTGCATATACTTGCTAAGAGACCAGAACTTCAGAAAACACTACAAAAAGAAGTGGACGATGTCATAGGAACCGATCGGGAACCTAGACTGTCTGACAGAGAGAATTGTCCTACGCTCGAGGCTGTTATCTTGGAAACTTTGCGATACATTTCCCACTTACCAGTCTTTGTTTTTCACTCAAGCTCCGATTCTTTGACAATTGGTGATTATACAACAGATAAAAATACAGTGGTAAGAAGATTTTGAATAACGTACATGTAATATGAGTTAATCTGATATTTTTTTTAAAAATATATGACTTAACTACCGATACATTGAATTTGTAAAATAATTTTTGTTTTTTACATTTTTTCACAATATGGAAAAGTTAAAATAGCTACAAATACAATGTTGTAAAATACTACAATATATGAACTTCAGAATGGCAATGTACCTGAAAATATTTCCAGACCTCAAGATACATGTATTTTCATTGCGCGAAGATTGAAGCAAGGATTTATGTTTTATAAACTTGAAATTGTAAACAGTTACTTTTTCTTAGGACAACAGTTACAACTTAACTGAATTGCCGAGGGTCATTAAAAAAACTTAGACAATGTCGCTCTTCATTATGTTATTATTAAGATTAACACACACACACACACCCACTCACACACACACCCACAGATATATATATATATATATATATATATATATATATATATATATATATATATATATATATATATATATATATATATATATATATATATATATATATATAACATTTATTTTGTCGATGCGTTAAGTTTCATTCCATTTGATTAAATGGAACTCATGTTTCTTAATTCTATAATAATCATGTTTTGTCACCACTGAGCATTGTTCACAACATTGTAACGTCAAAAACATCGTTGTGAAAGTTTCTCAAGCTCCTTCTTCATTTCTAAAAGGGTCTGTAGTGCATACCCATTCATCAAAATCGTCTCCATAATACTTGACACTTAAATTTGCTAACAGTTATTCGAGTAGCATGTATTTAGTCTGTCAGTGTTCTCAAATTCTTTACGGCAAAACGCTACTTTGATTCACAAGTTCGGCAACTGTAAAGTCACTTTCAGTGCCGTTACACACTTTTTTGATCAGATGTTTACTTATAATCTGTTTTTTTTTGGCAGACCGTCCATCGTCCGATTCAAATCTCTGCCACTCAAAAACTGACATTTATATATAAATGTACGGCTCACTTTTGAAACGTTTCTTGATTCCTCAAGCATTTTTAGCTCACCTGAGCCGAAGGCTCAAGTGAGCTTTTCTGACCACATTTTGTCTGTAGTCCGTCTGTCCGTCTGTAAACTTTTCACATTTTCGACTTCTTCTCCAGAACCACTGGGCCAATTTCAACCAAACTTGCTACAAAGTATCCTTGGGTAAAGGGGATTCAAATTTGTTCAAATGAAGGGCCATGCCTTCTTTTAAGGGGAGATAATTAAGATTTTGTGAAAAATTAATGGCATCATTAAAAAATCTTCTTCTCAAGAACCACTGTGCTTGAAAATATGAAACTTATGTGGAAGCATCCTCCGGTAGTGTAGATTCAAGTTTGTTCAAATCATGACCCCCGGGGGTCGGGTGGGGCCACAATGGGCGATCAAAGTTTTACATAGGAATATATAGGAAAAATCTTTAAAAATGTTCTTCTCAAGAACAGCAAAGCCATAATTGGTCATATTTACATGGAAGCATCCTCAGGTAGTGTAGATTCAAGTTTATTCAAATCATGACCCCCAAGGGTAGGGTGGGGCCACAATGGGCGATCAAAGTTTTACATAGGAATATATAGGAAAAATCTTTAAAAATCTTCTTCTCAAGAACAGCAAAGCCATAATTGGTCATATTTACATGGAAGCATCCTCAGGTAGTGTAGATTCAAGTTTGTTCAAATCATGACCCCGGGGGTAGGGTGGGGCCACAATGGGCGATCAAAGTTTTACATAGGAATATATAGGAAAAATCTTTAAAAATCTTCTTCTCAAGAACAGCAAAGCCATGATTGGTCATATTTATATGGTAGCATCCTCAGGTAGTGTAGATTCCAATTTGTTCAAATCATGACCCCGGGGGTCGGGTGGGGCCACAATGGGCGATCAAAATTTTACATAGGAATATATAGGAAAAATTTTTAAAAATCTTCTTCTCAAGAACAGCAAAGCCATGATTGGTCATATTTACATGGAAGCATCCACAGGTAGTGTAGATTCAAGTTTGTTCAAATCATGACCCCGGGGGTTGGGTGGGGCCACAATGGGCGATCAATGTTTTACATAGGAATATACAGGAAAAATCTTTAAAAATCTTCTTCTCAAGAACAGCAAAGCCATGATTGGTCATATTTATATGGTAGCATTCTCAGGTAGTGTAGATTCAAGTTTGTTCAATTTATGACCCCCGGGGGTCGGGTGGGGCCACAATGGGCGATCAAAGTTTTACATAGGAATATATAGGAAAAATCTTTAAAAATGTTCTTCTCAAGAACAGCAAAGCCATGATTGGTCATATTTACATGGAAGCATCCTCAGATAGTGTACATTCAATTTGTTCAAATCATGACCCCCGGGGGTCGGGTGGGGCCACAATGGGCAATCAAAGTTTTACTTAGGAACACATAGTAAAAATCTTTTTAAAAAACTATTACTTAAGAACAGCAAAGCCATGATTGGTCATATTTATATGGAAGCATTCTTAGATAGTGTAGATTCAAGTTTGTTCAAACATGACCCCTGGGGGTTGGGTGGGACCACAATGGGTGATCAAAGTTTTACATAGGAATACATAGGTTAAATCTTTAAAAATCTTCTACTCAAGAACAGCAAAGCCATGATTGGTCATATTTAAATGGAAGCATCCCCAGATAATGTAGATTCAAATTTGTTCAATTCATGACACCCCCCCCCCCCCACCAAACCACTTTTAAATTTAAACTTTTCAACCTTTCAAGACTGAACTGATTTCTGCTTTTTCCTAGCCATAGTGCTCAGGTGAGCGATGTGGCCCCTGGGCCTCTTGTTAGAGTTGATTTCAGAGGTTTCCCGAGTGCAATACATATATATTGTTATAACAGTAACTTGATTCGAAGAGCCGTATCACGTCAAGTTGACAGGTGCAGATCATCAGATCAAACGAGACGCGAAGCGTGATACGGCTCTTCGGATCAAGTTACTGTTATAATGATAAATTTATTATATACCCCTTTACAACTAGCAAAATATAATAAAAGGAAACGTTTTGGCTCAATTACATTACTTTTATTCATTAAACAAACCGTTTTGTCAAGGAGCTTTTTGATGGACGAAAAAAAAACAACATTTATCTGTGTACTACGTCATCAGTTTCAGAGAGGGGTGATATGGATTCAGAAAACCACAGAGTGGTGATCGGAACGTCGGATCACACCGTCACGTGATTGCGTAAATTCAACAGTAAAACTGAGTGACAAACAGTTGGGTATATAATAAATATGTATTATTATAACTGTTACAGTAACTTTATCCGAAGAGTCGTATCACGTCGAGTTGACAGGCGCGGATCATCAGATCAAACGAGACGCGAAGCATCGAATTTGATCTGATGATTCGCGCCTGTCAACGAGACGTGACACGGCTCTTTGGATCAAGTTACTGTTATAATGATAAATTTATTATATAACCCCATACAACTAGCAAGACATAGTTTTAAAAACTTCTGAAATCAATTATTTAATATTTTTTCCATTAAACAAAGCATTGTGTCAAGGGACTTTTTGATGCGCAAGAAAAATAATGTCATTATTCTGTGTACTACGTCATCAATTTGAGAGAGGGGTGATATGGATTCAGAAAACCACAGTGTGGTTATCTGGAATGTCGGATCACGCCGTCACGTGATTGTACAAAATCTAAAGTAAAACTGAGTTATACACTGTTGGGTATATAATAAAAGATTGTATCGCTTCTCGCTGCCGCGTAACGTCCTACGACGTCATCTTTTTGCGCTCTTTTTCAATGAAGACTATTTGTCTTCTGAAATAGTTTTCATTTTAACGAATCAATATATTACAATAATGAACGTGCTCCGACAGTCCATTTTCGTTGTCGTTTAAAATATTTTTTTAATAATTTTTTATTCAAATTACTTTAATTGTTAAAATATGTCTACCAAATTTGGTTATAATATTTCGTCAAATGACAAAAGTATGTGTATGTTTTAATGACTCTAGTTTATATTCTTACAGATTATTCCAAATGGATGGACAATGCACCACAGTGAAAAATACTGGGAGGATCCTTTCACCTTTAAACACGAACGATTTCTAGACAGCGAAGGCCAATTATTGGCCGCTACTCATCCTATCAGGAAGAGGTATTTTCAGGAAGAAGCACAAAACTCTAGGAATAAGATCATTAGACTAATTCTGCCATCCGATCCCGATCAATTATTATATATTCATGAGTAGAATGTTAAAATTAACTTTCTTTTGTATGAACAGTTCTGAAAATATGCTAAATGTTAAGCAATAGTGTTTACTGCCGTCTTTGAGATTTGTAATAAACTACAAATCTACTCTGCAAAACATGTATAAACTGTACTTTGAAAGTACAGTTCAGACTTTAGATATAGTCAGACTAGTGAGGTGTGAGTTTACATGTATAAATGTTTCCCCCCATTAATTATTTATTATTTTCAAATTGTATATGACAGTACATTCCTAATAAATGCTTTCTGAAAGATATAACAAAATGAGACGCATAATTACAGTATTTGAACCTAGTTTCTAAATAACTTTGAATTCAAATTAAACCTTTCATTTTAAAGGCAAGCTTGTATAAAATGTTCAATATTTCATCTCAAGGAAACAGTGCAACTTATCTTTAACGATAAAATATTCTTCAATGTAAGCTTCTTAATTTGATATGAATGGTTTACTCTTTGTTTTTTTCCAGGTTGGTGGCATTTGGACTAGGCAAAAGAAGTTGTATCGGCGAAGTATTTGCAAAATCCCGTATCTTTCTTTTCTTATCTACTTTGATGCAAACAATAACGATAGCTGAACCTTACGGAAAACCTTTACCAGATCTCGATCCAAGGGAAATGATTCCAGGACTCGTCTTACAAGCACAACCATTCGAAGTTCGTTTTTTACTGAGAAATAATGAAGAGTGACCTCGTAAATTTCATAATGGGAAATATACGATAAATACAAGCGAGACCTTGAAAAACGTTATGAATACATGCTTCGGAAATATCAAAAGATTAACCGTAAGTTATCAGATTTATACATGACTTGTACATACAGCAAACAGCATAGGAGCAAGAACGTGAATCGTGATTTTGTTGTTTTTGTGCTGTGTTAATGTTTTTAGACAAATTAAAGTATCTTTAAAAAATAAGATTTTGTACCTTACCTACAATAAAAGCATGTATTTTTATGCTGTAGTTACATTTCTTTCCATATTGCACTATTGGTACCCCTTTCGAAAACAGCTGATTCAAAATTGATTCTCATAATATCATAACGAATATTCTTGAATGTGTTGAACGCTTCAAACACTTATGACGTTAATGTGGAATTACTTCTATCATTTATGATTAACAATTAATTTGTGTGACTAAACTCTCAAACTGAAATCTTTCAATGACATATTTGTGATATAATATATACCAACAATTCGAAAAATAAATGAAGAGACGACTTATTACCAATTTCTTCCACATAACCAAATATGAGTGCAAGGTATAAAAACTGGACATATTCTTGTTTTTTGTACGAATTTTTAATCAAGGAAATATTACGAAATATCTAGAGAAAAGAAGGTATTTTAATAAATTGCGTTTTAAAAGGGGCATAACTCTCAAAACAAAACCCGCAAATCAGGTTAAAAATAATTAGAATCATTTCATTTACATAAGTGGTTTAGAACTCTTTGCTTTCAATTCATTTGAAATATATTTTTAAGGTGTATCTCAACCAAATTTCTTCAAATGCTTATTTCAAAAGAGTGTTTCAGACTTTCTGCAGAGCTACCTATTTTTTGTAGAAAGTCGTATCCCCATCACTTCCGTTGACTAAGCTTTGAGCAGTTTAAAAACGCTAACATCCTTTTGGAAAATTGGCCAAATCGACTGTTGAAGTGCCTAAACCTTTATAAGAGTTAGTGGTTAATGAAAAGAATATTTAATCTATGACATGAGTTGTTGATTTTAGGGCTATATGTAGATTTATGAGACAATTAAAAAAAATCATCGGCAGTGCCTCTCGGTTTGCAGACGAAGTTGGCAACCTTGTTGATTTATATGTAGAGAACGGGGTATATTATATAAATTGTTTGTTTTAGGTAATTTTTCGAATCGTTGGTATAGATTATATCACAAATATGTCACTGAAAGATAATTTATGAGAAAAAAGTCGAAAAGGACCGGGGGTCTATATCGAAGGGGGGGGGGAATGGTCCTGTCCTCAAGCACCTGTGAATAAAGTGAGATCATCGAGAACTGAAGAAACCTGAGCCTTCTCTATCGACTTCGTTGTCATTTGGAATAAAAGATAAGATTTTTTTTTGCTAAATATGAAATAATTTTCTAATTCTGCATATTCAAATTGTACTGAATGAAGTTTAAACAGTTAATCTAATAGATACCTCTGTGAAAACTTGCTTAAAGCCCTATACACAAGAAAAATGTTTCTTTAATTCATAAGCCATTATTAATTAATCCTGTTAATGGCGTTTCAGCTGATTACTATTTCACATTCAAAGTAAATTAAGAGAACAAATTTCTTTTGGATGATATCACTAGCTAGGTAACATCTTTGAGAATCGCAATGTTAAAATACATATTGGTATTCCGCAATGCAAGTTTTAATTTTATGTGGGATCTTTCTTTTTTTTCTTTTTTCTTTTTTTGTTATAAAAACGGTGTTCTCGAAAATGATGGTGAGCCTACAGGACCCGAGGAATGGTCATTACGAAGGACATAAAGAATACTTAATGATTTTCCTCCAAAAACTTTTGGCATTGACCAAAAACATCCACACAAGTTGTCCTAATTATTCAACAAAATTACAAGATTTTTGCTTAAGCATAAAAAGATAAAACTCTTTTCTATACGTGTCATAATTCGGTCAAGTGATAAAAATATTCATAAGCCAACGAATAGTCAGTCACCTTTTTAAGGTCATTGGAAAGTGTGTCATTTGTAGGAAACCTTCATGAAAACAACGAATTGGCAAAGCGAAAACAGCCGTCGTTTTAATCAGCGATCAGCAGTTTTTCACATAGCAAATGCTAGCAAAAAAGGTAAGTAGATAAGTTTGATTTTTAGTAGTTCTTAGCCAAAACTGGAACTACTTTCACATTATATGTACCGAATAATAAAATTCGAATATTTCTCAAGTCATAGTTTCCCATTATATGCACAAAATTGTAGACCTCTACAATGTAAAATTAATTCGACTTGACAAGACTGTAGCTCTTCTGGTGTATATTTACGATACAGAAAGATCTATCTTAGTATAGTTTACTTGTGTAAAGATCTAAGCAGACCAAAGCTTAGGAGGAGCTAGAAGCGTTTTAAAAGAATTCAAAGAAATTACTAATTTTCTTAACCATGGCAACACAATTTGTCAAAATCGAGAATTATGTATATAAGTGTAGTCTACCTTGCAAAATGATTCTGGATTGGATTGGCATGTCATTCGACTTCAACAAAAATGACAGGCAAATTTTTGAATGGAAATTGAGGCCCAGGAGAGCTATTTATACAGTGCCGACCAGACACAACCTAACAGAAAGCGAACCCAGAGCGCACCCGGGGTTCGCTCTCTGGGTTCGCTTCGGGTTCGCTTGGGGTCCGCTAGTGCTGACCCCGAGCGAACCCGGAGCGCACCCGTAGTGAACCCGCAGCGAACCCAGAGCGGACCCAGAGCGAACGCTGAAAGCGAACCCCAAATTCAGTAGCGGTCCCAGAAAGCGAACGCGCGTTCGGTGTTGCGTAACAGAGCTGTCAATCAGGATTAGCGATTAACTCATCAGCGCGTCGACCAATCAGCATGCTGAACACAACTGTCGATCAGGATAAGTGAGAAAATGCGTTGACCATCAGCGCATCGACCAGTCAACATGCCAGTTTGTAATTTAAACATTGTACAAGCAAAGCGTGTGAATGTACAGTGTAAAAATATTATCAATGTGATTTTTAGACATGATTTTACATTTATATATTTTAATTCTCCACACAATATGCAATATTTACAAATCTATTTTCATTATTTTTTATTTTTAAAATATATTAATACATTATAAATTTTTATTATGCAGGTAGCATGTTACATGTATAGTTACATATTTATTTTCTTTATGTTTTTAAAATCCATTAATATATATGTGAAGTCAACTATTTTGGTGTTTACCAAAACCTCGGATTGATGAGGATTCTATGTTATTTTATGTTAAATAAGTGTAGTAGTCCTATCTTGACTAAAGTGAGTTTTTGCACATCTACATGACACCACCAACCATTTCTGATTAGGCTACTGTGTAAAATGTAAGAGGAGTTTGAAAAAGAAGAGTGTGACAGACAGACGGACGGACAGACGGACAGACATGAGTAACAACAATATACCCGAACTTTCTTTAGAAGTTTAATTACACTATCTTGAATGGTATCTTTAAAACTGAGCTAAACACTAATTTAAGAAAAGTGAAGTCAAGATCAAAGAAAAGGTTAAAGTCAAAAAATGTTGATGCAGTTACATAGCTCTCATCAATATCTATCAGCATATGAAATTTGATAAAAATATCTTCGATAGTTTCTTTGAAACTGAGCTTCGAACAGAGCTAAACGCAAAGTATGACGGAAAGAAAGACGGAAGGATGAAAGGACAGAAGGACGGAAGACGGACATGACAAACACTATATGCACCGGCCATATTCATGGCGGGGCATAAAAAACAAGGTAAAAAATTTTGCTTGCATGCACCCTTTCTCCATACCACCTCTCCATGTTCCAAGATTGAAGTTTTAATGTCAAAAGGTTCTTAAGTTATGGTTTGGAGGTGTTTTTCTCAATTTGACCTTGAATGAAGAAAGTAGTCAAGGTCAAAATTTTTAGTGCAGTGCATCTTTTGTAAATGTCTTTTTTCTATGTTACAAATTTGAAATCCTAATGTCAAAAGGTTCTCAGGTTATAGCATGGACTATATTTTTATATAAAGATTGACCTTGACCTTATCAAAAGGTAAAGGTAAAAAAAGTTTGGTGGCCTCAACCCCAATTCCATACCACCTCTCCATGTTTCAAGTTTGATGTCTGAAGGGTTGTCAAGTTAAGGCTCGGACAAAATTTGATTGAAGAAGAAAACTGACAAAAACAATATGTAGACTAGTATAGTCTACTTGTTGCATCAAATCTGTAGGAGGAATAGTTTTGAAAGAACAAATTTGTTTCTACATTATGTAATGAAACTTTAACGTAAGATTCAACTTTTCTTGCCTAGTGGTTCCTGAGAAGGAATTGTTTCCTTATACAGTAAAGCATGCTTATAGCGAAACAAGCCTATAATGAGTTGACACTTACAGCAAAGCGATTTTCATTCCCTGTGACTTTAAAATATATTGTAAACTTAATGGATATAAGCAATTACACTTATAACAAAGCAAAATCGTCCGTCCCAGGCACTTTGTTTTAAGTGTGTTTTACTGTACATTCCCATGTTTACAAAACCTTGATCCCCTATTGTGGAAGCACCCTACCCCTAAAGGTCATGATTTGGACAAAGTTGAATCTACACTAAGTAATGAAGTTTCACATAATTTTAAAAACTTTTCTGGCCCAGTGGTTCTTCAGAAGAAGATTTTTGAAATAACATTAAATTTTCACTCATTCTTATCTCCCCTTAACAGAAGGCTTGGCCCTTCATTTGAACAATTGTTTTACACAAGAAAAAATATTTTGCATGAGAAATAAAACTCGTTGTGTTTCTAAATATTTCATCACACCTCTAGTGTGTTTCTTCTTATTTTAACTAAGATAATGATGATTTTATTATGACTTCAATTTTGTACAGGCCTTTGTTTGATAATTATTTGTAATTTACCCCTCAAAGTAGTCATTTTGCCTCAAGGGACTGCCAATAAAAGGACGAATGAAAACCTTTTTTTTTTTTTTTTTTAGAATTTAAAGCAAATGGAAACCTTTTGCTGCCAATCTTTTCTGATAAAAATTCAGTGCATACAGTCTGCATATTTTAATAATAAGTGTTCTATCGTTCTGTTGCAAAAGAACTTTTTTTCCATCCAGATGATGCAATGGTATTAGTGAAATAGTTATCTTCCGCTGAATAATCAAAACAAGAAGAGGGCAAATTAAGTTTTAAGAATTTGTGCCCAATTCCATATTGTACATGTAGATATTCAATACTAAAAAAATCAAATCAATAAAAAGGAACAAAAGTTAATTTAATTTTTTCATGCAAAGGATTCAAAATATTTTTATGTTCCAAAACCTATATATTTCCTTACGATACTTAACCTGGATTCTTTTATAAAGACTACTTTGGTTGAAAGCCCGTCAGTTTTAAAAATCAGGAATAGCTACATGTATGGAATATATTTGGAAATAAGCTTAAGCTTGGTTTTCAATTCGTATTAACACATCATCATTAGGACCATAGGTAGCAGTTTTAGTTGAGGGCACAATCAAATATTTTCAGGGTGGGGAAGGTACTACGAAACAAAAATTCCCTGACAAGCAAAAAAAGCTCATCTTTAAGAAGGCAAAAGAATAAAGTAGCTATGTTTCCTATAATATACCATATAACGGCAGCATTTTTTGAGGGCCCCTCCCGTGCACCCCTCTTCAGTTTCCTACGGCTATAATCATATGTGTTTCATCTGTGCGATGATTTAACAAACCATGAGCTGGAAATGCATTTAACTTGAAAAAAAAAACAATCCTTAAAGAACCTCTATTATATATAAAATACATTCATAAGAGAGAAAAAAATTGTATAAATACACGTACTTTAAAATATATAGTTCATAGTACTTTATAGCTGACATAGCAATTTATAGCAATTTTAAAACTATGTTTGATTGATACACGTATATTGTTCTCCTACACTGCCCATGAATGTAGTTACGTGCAATAATATGAATGAAAGGAAAAATGATTGAAAGTAATGCAACTCTGATCAGTGTAATTATATTTCTCTTACAAAATCAATGTGAATTTCCAATTCCAAAATTATAGCTTATCGCTATCAAATAAATGCAGCTTGAGAAATATTACAAAAGTGTCAACTTTTTTTATTACATAAAACTACATGTAAATGTTAAAAATCATATTAAAAGAAATAAAATTATACGTGTAATTAACTCCATATGAGTACATTAGATCATGCCTACCCAACCAGGATAGATAAAATCAGAAATTTCCCCTCCTCGAAAGGCATTAGAAAATAAAGAGCCAGGGGTATATAAATGTTTATAGTATACAACTGTTCCACGTGTCATCCACCCTGCCCACCAACCAAAGGTTCCAGATGACATAATCACGTGATTACAAAGAGATAAAATAGCCATATCAATAATTGGGCTATTATCATGCAGAAAAAATATATTTTCTTCCTCGTGTAGCTTTTGTTTTAACCAGCCTATCTCATTTGAAGCAGCAATAAAGAAAACTCTCTTTGTTTTAAATTTGTCCCTAAAATACTTCATTGCATTGAGATAATATGTTACATTCGGAGTGACGTAGCCATAATTCTTGGCAGGCTTAGACACGTAATCACCTCTTCTCGAATGAATGCCAATTACTACATCTTCCGATGTATCCCTGAATCCCATTTCATTCAAAATGTCAGACAGTTTTTCACGAGCTTCATCTTGAATTTCGGAATTGAATGTAAAAAGTTCCCTGATTTCATCTTCATATTGAGTCCAATACTTCCATGACTGAAAATAGCCATGAAAATAAAATCTTTTGTTCATGGACAGTTTTGTAAATTTTTCATCATAAGAACACGGCCATCGCTCAGCTTCACGAACAACTGTGTTGCATTCTTGTCTTCTTGCATTCTGCTCTTGAGATTCGTAGTGAGGTAAAGTGAAATATCTAGACAACTCGAAATTTTCAGGAAATATAGGATATAAATTCTTAATTTTTGACGTAACGTGGAGAAAGGCGTATTTAAATATAAGATTCCCTAACCTCCCATTAAATGTCATACAGGCAATGGACTTATTTCCGCTTGTGTAAGTGTAAGCTTGCGCATTGCGAACATATGACGATGTTGTGAATATCTTCAGAATGCCTGTTTGTCTTCTATGTTCTGTTTGCTTGTTTTCTCTGTGGAGAAATACTGAGGACGAGTGATATAAAATTTCAGTTTTTTGCAGCGGGAAATTTTCTTTTTTGATTTGATTTTGTCTCAAATAAATGTTTTGGACAGAAAGAAAAATAACGGAAACCAGTAACAGCAATGTACCTGAAAATAAGAAGAGAAGTAATTATCTTAAAGTATGAAAAGTATGAATTTTAAAAAAGTGGCGAATTGAATTATCTCTTCATTTTTAAAAGTTTGTTACATGTAATTACTGATAAGTTCAGAGGATTTCATTGCTCCTTTCTTGAAATTCTATATTACCTCTGTTTTAGTTGCAATTGAAAAATATTCATTGAAACCTTACTCAAATAGATTTGTCTGTTTATTGTGAGATATATATTAAATTTCCCATTAAAAAAATGATTTAATGGAAAACGTACATGGAGAAACAAAGGAAGACAATCATGCATATGAACATAAGAATGTTTTCAAATTTGCATTCATATTAGCAGTGTGTCATCATAACAGTTTTGTTTTATTGTTTTAATAAGCTATAGGCATATATATTATGGAATATTAGTCGTTTTAAAAGATCTACATTATATAAAATTTTTTACGAAATGTGCAAGAAAAGATATTGTTATTAGATTTTATAATTAATAAATAATTGAAAATTGTTAAATTTCAATTATTCCATGGATTATAAAAAAGAAATAAAAATATATCTATGCAAGCAATTTGTGTGCTATGCACAGTATAAATGTCGAAATAAAATGTAAGGCTTAGCAATGAGTCCAAGCGATAGTATACGAGCTCATTGACTGATCTTAATTGAAAATCAACTCATCTCAGTCAACTGCAATTATCTATAAGGGGTCTGGTAATTTACGTGTGTTTATTTCGATACAGCAAATCCATTACTCACAAATTGTTTTCAAACTTCCTGGCTAAAAAAAAAATTATGATTCTTATATTAATGAAATTAAAATCTAAAATTTCATCTGAAAAGGGAATATTAAGTACCATTATTAAGATGCAGTTCGATTGACGCTAACAACTCTTGCTAAACATGAAGTATGCTTGATCAAGACAGTACGTGACACGTGAAAAGAACAACATTGTTACAAACAAAAAATGCTGAAATATATCAATAAAAAAAACAGGTTTCATGCGTCACTTAGCAAAATTTTCAGCCAGTTTTATATGCTTGTTGCATACATTTCGTGAACTTTGGACATTATAATGACCTTCTTAGCAAATATAACCTAACACTGGATCGTATTTTGGCTGACGAATTTCATAACAATTATTAGACTTTAATAATGAATTTTACTACGGAATGTTAAATCTACCTGATAAATACAGAGGGGTTACGGCGGACGTGACCGGTGAACAGAGGATGCTTACTACTCCTAAGCACCCGATCCCACCTGGAATTTTCATGGATCCGTGTTTTTTCCCCTCTTCACAGATTTTTATTGTTTATAGATTTTTCTTGGAGATCGATCACTGTTCATTATCTTCAACGTTTTTATTGAAAGCATTTAACGTTCTTCACTCACAGTCTTTCACTTATAAAATTCACGAAATCTTGTTAACAATCATTATCATTTGTTCTTGGGATAATGATTTAAAAAAAACGTCGACAATATTTTCAATTTCAATTTCCATAAGAATCAACCAACCAAACCCCCAAAAAACAAAACAAAACAAAAACAAAAAACAAGAAAAAAAAAAAAAAAAAACAAAACCCAAAAAAAACAAAACAAAACAACCCCCCCCCCCCCCCAAAAAAAAAAAAAAAAAAAAAAACAAAACAAAAAAAAACAACAAAAAAAAAACAAAAAAAAACAAAAACAAAAAAAAAAAAAAAAAAAAAAAAAAAAAAAAAAAAAAAACAAACAAACAAACAAAAAAAACAAAAACGAAACCAACTAACAAGGAAAAGGAACCATACCCATTAAGAAGAAGGGGAAAATATCATATAAAGGTTGTTCGTACCAGTATCCTCTATATCTAACGAAGGTCTAAATCTTGGTGATAGGTCAAACAAGCCAGATACATACATCCGGGGTTTATATCCTTTATATAGGATGTTATCATCCGAAGATATTTCTTACGGATTTGACTAGTACATAGACAATCAAGTTCGATCCAGAAAGTTTAAGAAAACTTAAATTATAAAACTTGACTTTTTCATCTGATAATCATTCCAAAAGGATAGTAATTTAACTTACCTAATTTAGACTTCGTAAAATTATTCATTATTTTCCTTCCTCTGCACTCAGTTGATAACCTTTATACTGTGTTTGCATTGATTTATCAATGTAGGAGTTGATAAGTTATAGATATGAATTTATATGGTTCAGTAATATTGTAATATCACAGTTTGTATTCTAGTTTGTGCACGCTTTATACAATGAAATAAATGATATTTGTATGTAAGCATAATCTTTTAAAACAGGCCAAGCATCTTTATCAACTGTGTAAATTATTGTAACAAAAACATACCATCCCTGACGCATACCTAGGTTATATTGTCTCTCTTTGACAAACAAATGCCATACTTAAAAAGAAGTTTCAAATTTTAGCGTTTTCAAGATATAACATTTGTTAGAATTGCCATTGATGTTTAACATATTAATTGCACAATATACATTATGGTTTATTTGCATAAGCCATACATCATTGTTCAATGCAACAGATAATGAACCCCGCTTTGCGACATAATTCAGCACTTGACAATTTCACTCCTTTGTTTATCATCTGTGATGGCGTAATCAGTATCGTGGTGTTCATGTACTAAGCTAAACAAACTGTTCACACTAAATGCTGTAAAATTACAACAAACGTACAAGCTTGACATCAATGCTTATTCACTTTATCCGGCTCAGGCATCGCAGTCAATTTTATACTGTCGACAGGGCAGGTATGATTTAAAGAGAAAGTGATTTCAGTTCTTCATTTTGTGACACTTGCGAGATGTTAACTTTATTCAATTTAGCAATCCTTACACTCTTGATAAATAAACAAAGATATATATATATATATATATATATATATATATATATATATATATATATATATATATATATATATATATATATATATATATATATATATATATATATATATATATATATATAAAACAAACAAACAAACAAACAAACAAAAACCAAAAAAGAAAAAAAAAACTAGATGATTCTTAAAATTTTATTTTAACGGTATGTAAATAATGGAAACATATATTTTATGCAATTATAAACGTGAAGTCAACAATTTTGGTGTTTACCAAAACCTCGTTTATAAATAAACGGATTGATGAGGATTCTATGTTATTTTATGTTAAATAAGTGTCGTGGTCCTATCTTGACTAAAGTGGGCTTACCTAAGGCAATCAGAAGTTAGAAGGTTATTCCCTATTCCCTATTGACTATTCGAATGGCGAACCGGATGCTGCTACCGGTTCCCTATTCAAGTTACCGTAAGTGTCCTAATAATTTAAAAAAAAAAACTTGAATAACTCATTATAATACATGTTAAAGAAGCAAATCAAAGACATCACTTAAAAAAGAGGAGTGAGGACCACAAACCAATGTAGCTAGCCTGATCGAAATGATGACAGTGGATAGAAAAGGTAAACCTTGAACCAGGAGCTAGTTAACACCCTGGATCTCATATTTAGATCTTCATATTTTTCCAGAGGAGGGGACAGGAAGGGACCCCTTGTCTTTCAAAAGGAATTGAGTTTGCAAGAGCGGTAGCCCATTTACTTAATGCTGTTCATGCTCAATCCATGTGGTTGCTTGCATTAATTTTTTTTTTTTACTTTTAATAAAATATGGAGATAACGAACAGGAACAAAGCTCAAAAGACCATTGGAAAAATACATATTGGGAGCAGGGTAAATACGGATTTCTAAAAAAAAAATCTGAGGTAGGATCAGGTGCAGTGGAGGAGTAAGCATCCGCTATTGACCAATCACACACATCGTGTGCTTCTTGTTTTGATCGGATAAATGGAAAAATTTGACGACATAGAGAACAATCCCTACTCATTTAAAATACATATACATTTATTGATTACAAAATAGCCCACAAAATAAACAATGTTCATCAAAAATAAGAATAAATCCTGGAGTAGATATTATAAAGTACTTTACATATTTATACTATGGTATTTTGTTATCTCTTCTCTAAATTGTCTCATAAAAATTGTTTTTAAAATTTCTATTCTGATGAAAGTCATTATAACTAAATAAAATGTGAATTAACATAAAAACTACTATACATGTACATATTCTAAACTGAACTATTAAACGAGGATTCCAGATATGTGCCAGTTGATAAAATTCATTGACCAGGATTTGTTCTGCTAAACTAATCAAATACAAGCATCTAGGTCCTCCTTGTACTCTGTGTACAACATTCTCCGATATTTCCAGTATTTTTCATTCTTTTCTTTTATATTCTTTTTCAAACATGGTGAAAACTTTCAAGGAGGAATTTCAGGTTGAGTTTTTCAAACTCGATAATGCAGAACCCCGGAATTTTGTCATTTCCAAAGTAAGTCCAACTATAAAGTATTCACCTATATTAATTTACAAAAAAAAATGAAATTCATTTTTGTTTTCAAGTACAGTGAAGATGTTTAGAGCAAAATCATATATTTTTTTTAAAACTTGAAAAAAATTTCAATTATTCTAATACATTTTACATGTATCATTTTAACATAATCTTATCAATCAGATGTTTAACTCATTGTTAACTCCGTCTGGTTTTTTTTTTTTTAATTTACAGAATTTAACTGTAGCTATCTTTAAAATTAGAGAAAGATGCAGAAGCAAAATCTTAATAGAATTGCCGTATCAATTTATCTACCATTTTTTTTTCATTTAAAATACTAACCAGATAAATCCTCTTTTTCTAGTTGATGCACATGTTTTTCTATCCAATATGGACAGTGATCTGGGCCGTATTTTATTTATTCAATTTGCTCTTGATGCCATACTATAGAAAAGACCTAGCACCGTATCCTGAACCATGGCCATTTTTACCTTTCTAACTGGGCCTGTCTCATTCTTGCTGTTCATGCGGTATTGGACTGTGTAATTACTTTCTACGTCTTTCTGAAAAAGCAGCCACTTCTGGTCCCTGATCCAGGTAGCGAATATAACAGCAACATCATCAGACAACAACAAAAACAACAACAATAATAATAATGTTGTCATAAAATCTTGAAGTTAACTATATGAATAACATAAAACACATATTGCACATATTATTTACATATCAACTTTTCAAAGACAATTACATATTTTTTATAAAGCAAAACAGTAATATTATTCAGAGTTTTGATAATTTTGATAATTGATAATAGTTTATGTGTATATAAGCTAGTATCTACGTGATATGGATTTAAAACCAAAACTGATTATAAAAATGTTAAATTACAGCTGGTTTGATGAATACCCCCCTGGTATGAGAAGCTGCTGTGGGTGACATACAACATCACAAACGTTACAACCCTGACAATGACACTTCTACTTGGCTCTCTTGTTACTTACCGTAATACATACCACTGAAACACTCACAGTTTTCTATAGTAGATATTAATTCAATTGACTATAGGTCTATTGCAACCAATCGCAAAAATGAATCTTTTTTACGCAAGTTATTAAAAGTCAGGACCAAAAATAACAAATTAAATAAATCTTAATGGAAATTACTTACACCTGTTAGAGATAATCATCCAGCATGTTGCATTCTGTTTAAAGGAATTTGTTACGAATCTTGATATTAATAACCCTTTAATTTATGCTTAAAAAATATTAATTTGATAATTTTGTTAATTTTGGGTGATTTGTTTATATTTTTTTATGTAACGTCCCTTCAAGAATTTTTCACTCATAAAGAGACGCCACCATTTAATGTGGAGGGCTGTCAATTATGACCTGTACTCGGCACTTAAGGCCTTTCAGTAATGAGTGATCTTTTTCGTGCCAGCACCCTCTGCGACACAGGACCTCTGTTTTAACGATCTCATTCGAAGAACTGATCTCCGCATTGCGCAGTGGATTCTAACCCGCGACGTAAGGATCAAGTCCTTACACCGCGACTCTAGAGCAAACGTTTTAACCACTGCGCCACGCGGGTGGAAGCACTTTGTAAAACAACTGTTTATGGCATTTATCTTTGGGATCATTTTTGTCTGCGTGAAAAAAAAATATCGAATTTAATTCATTTGATAAAAATTAGTATAATGTAAAAGTAAATTGGTTGTCTCATTTTTCAATTAAAAAAATAATTATAGAAAAAAAAAAAAAAACTTTTTTACAGGTGCTGACGCCCCAAGTGTTCTGATACAAATATTCAGCTCCTTCTACGTCATCGCTAATATTATAATCGGAGGCAAGGAAACAAGGATTTTGCATGCCTACCAACCAATGGCATATCTGTTCCTTTACATCCTGTTCAATTTGATTTACTCGGCAGCTTCCGGTAACGCGATTTATCCAACTATGGATTGGGCAAAGAAACCTGGATACGGAATCCTCTGGCTTCTTTGTATCCTCCTGTTAATTGCACCTCTGATTCATCTTCTTGTTTATGGTATTTATAGACTCCGAGAATTCATTGTTGAGAAGTGTACAGAAAGATGACGTACCTGTCTAAAATACTTCTGAATATTCCCACGACAAATACTAGACCTGTTTGATTATATTTGTTAATCAATTAAACCTGTCAGTCATATCTGAACATTCCATACACTAATAATGTATAAAATTGTAAAACAATAAATAAATAAATAAAATAGATAAATAAATGAAAGAATGTTTCAGACTGTCTTGTAGTGTTTTTTATTTTTGTTGATGGCATATATTACCTCAAGAAAATCTGTATATGAAGAAAATACCATTGCATTCTAGGTTTGTTTTAAAATGTCAGTGGGTATGCAATGAAACATTGTTATGTTATTTCTTACAAAGTTAACTTAAATATTAATGAAATAAATGCAGACAAGCAAGTAAGATTAACAAGTTTTGTAGATTTTAAAGAAATATTTTTTTTTTCAATATTGATTTGATACGTTTGAGTATGTCACAAAAAGTCATTTCTTCTGAGTGTTGCATAATAGAAGATGATCTTAATTAAATGAATTGAATCAAACAAATAAATCTGTTGAAAAATGTACATAGGAATGATTAAAGTGTGTTTATTCTGTGTGTTCTTCCTATGAGATAACAGTTTCAAATAAATAATATTATTATATTTACTGATTTATTTGAAAAGTGATGCTGTTTACTTGTTATGTCGGCAAATGAAATTCTTTTTAAAAATTAATACATTTGCCTAAGTGATACGTTGGTACTTTGCCATCAACCTATGGTGTACAGTAATGCAAAGTGAACTACAATGCATGCAATAACAATTAAATATGTTCGAATAACTCCTTGATCAGGACTAATTGATAAAAAGTATAAACACCTTTTATAAAGAAAAAAAAAACCCAACAAACATTTGATATGGTATATGGGTTTAATATCACTGGAATATGATGCTGCATATCATTTAAACTAGACATCTATAATCAGTTGTGTTTTAAATACAAGTAAGTATATCTTTAAAAGAACTATATGCGGTATATGCATATTTTTTGCCCCCTCCAAAAGTCACATTTTGAAAAAAATTTGAAATGTGCTGAATTTTATATATTGTATGAGAAATCTAAATGAACAAAAAATATTATAATTTCAAAGTAGGTTATTGGCAATTTTTGTTTCTATGACGTCACAAACTATTCGGATTTTATGTTATTTTTCAGAAAGAGGGACAAAATTGAAAAAATTTGTTCAATTTTTACTATAAAATTTATAGAGCGCAGGCCTGCTCAAGAACAATATTTACATATTTCATTGATATTATCATTCTACACATTATATTAAAATATTGGGTCGGAGCAGGCCTGCGCTCAGTGACTTTTACTCAAATTATCGACGTAATATACACCTTTTTCTGTGTAAATCATGAAAATTTTGAATTTACGTCATTTTCCTGACGTCATATCTAACATATGGCGTCATGGCTTATGAAAATATTCAGTGCTTTGAAGTCTGCAGATATCCCCCTGTTTTAGAACATAATTAAAGATTTCTCCGTCAAAGTTTGATTTTGGGGGGCAAATATCGGTCATTACCGAATATAGTCCTTTAGCAAACCTTTTAAACATATAACCTACATGTAATCTGTATTCCGCGACTTAAGGTACATTTAATATAACTGAAATTATAAAATACCGTGATATAATTCACCCACACAGTACATCATCTTCGTTGATTAGAAGTCTTGGGAGTTCACCAATACGAAAGACAGACTTTTGCTAACTTTTGATTTGGTCTTTAACTTTATTTTCCATCCGATAAATAGTCGTTTTTTTTCAGATATGATTTTCTTTGACAGTTACTCTGTAAATAGTTAAAGATTATTTCTGCTCCCTCCAAAATTTAAGGAAAAAATACTAGTAGTTTAATAATGTTTCATTTTGAAATAATACCAATGAACCGATTCGAATATTATAATTTCTTTTTATTTGTTATTTTGATATCAAAAGAATATAAGATTTTGTTTGGGAGATCCAATTACAAGAAGGCTTAATGCATGCAAAATTCTGAATCATCCTTAAAATAGAAAGGTACACCGATTGCATGTCATTGATAAAAGCATAAGTGCAGCAAGAAGTACTAAGATTAAGTTTCATACTTAAGTCATAAACTGCTACTTATTCCGCAAGGAAGAAGTGCATTAAGATTCAATAACCCTCTGTTAATGTATGTAAAATTTTATTTAAATCCTAATGAATTTCCAAAAGGAATTCAATTTATAAATTAAATACAGACACTTTCAGCATAGATTGCGGGGATACAAGAATTGACAGAAATTGGTCTATTAACTTGACAGTCTTATAAATAATAGCTATGTATCCCGATGAAACTTATCTCTCTTATCAAAGGGTCAATGAATCCTTAAAGATTAAGATAAGGCATTAACAGGTGGTCAACTATGTTCAGCATTTCAAGCTGAAAATCATTTTGAAATGAATTTTTTTTAGTATGTATAGATGAACAAGGGCCGTAATGCAAGGAAATGCATCGGGGATGAAACAAAGTATGGCGTGTAAAACGTTGCTTTATTCGATAATCTTGTGATGCATATTCAAAATCTTGTGATGTATGTGCAAAATCTTGTGATGTATATTCAATATCTTGTGATGTATATTCAAAATCTTGTGATGTATGTGCAATATATTGTGATGTATATTCAAAATCTGGTGATGTATGTGCAATATCTTGTGATGTATATTCAAAATCTTGTGATGTATGTGCGATATCTTGTGATGTATATTCAAAATCTTGTGATGTATGTTCTATAATCTTGTGATGTATGTGCAAAATCTTGTGATGTAAATTCAAAATCTTGTGATGTATGTGCAATATCTTGTGATGTATATTCAAAATCTTGTGATGTATGTTTATAATCTTGTGATGTATGTGCAAAATCTTGTTATGTATATTCAAAATCTTGTGATGTATGTTCTATAATCTTGTGATGTATGTGCAAAATCTCGTTATGAATATTCAAAATCTTGTGATGTATATTCGATAATCTTGTGATGTATGTTCAATAATCTTTTGATGTAGATGCAAAATCTTGTGATGTATGTTCTATAATCTTGTGATGTATATGCAATAATTGCATTGTGGGTAATATTCGACTTAATTTCGATAACCTTTGTAAGGACTTTTTTCATTGGTCTCCAAAGTGAAAGTAGAAACGCTGTGAAAAGGAGAGTCCTCAGTCCAGGCTTGGGGTCTGTAACTTTATTTTACACTGATAAAGTCGATAACTTTTGCGCAAATCTGAGAATCCTGTTACCAGTGAACATGTCCTAAAGTTTTTGTACAACGAGGAAATTCTGCATGTCCATCCAGGCGTAGATGAAAAGAAAGTTGTACAAAGTCACTGTAGGTACATGTAGGTACGTATAGGAGTGCACTTTTGATAAAAAAGGAATCATCATGATCATAAACATTTTTTTAATGAGAAAGTGATTGTACGCGTACATGATTTCGCATTTTAGATTAACCCTTTTAAATTGTAAATTTACTTTTCCATGACTTTTCCATCGAAGAAATGAATGTAGCCTAATATTTTTTCTTTGACCAAAGTATCAAACAAAAATTTGGATGGAAAACTTTTTCATCCTACGTACGCGCATTGATGACGTTTTCTGTCCAAATTTTTGTTTGATACTTTGGTCGAAGAAAAAAATATTACATTCATTTCTTAATTTATTATAAACCCCCCTCCCCCCGGAGGCAGGTCTTTTCTTCCAAATTTTCACTATGATTTTTATATTTTTTTTATTCCAGTCAACTCTAGTTACGCAGTATCTGCTTGTACTGTGAATGCCCATTGGATAACTTCATATGACATCATTTTGAAACAACCTCTGCACCTCTGTTGTATGGGTAATTATAAGATATGCATTAAGATTTATATGTACAGTACTTATAATTTAAATGAACATCTACAAGTGTCTGTTGTAAAGGGAAATTAATTTGATTTTTTTTCCTCAATCAGTTAAGAGGTTAAAATGGAAACTGTATAAATTAACGAAATCAGTTAATTATTCTTGTGTATTCTGTACTAATTTGTTTTAATGAAATTAATTATAATTATTATACTCCCCAGTTGAAAAGTGGGGGGGGGGGGGGGGGGGTGTATAATGATGGGGGTGTCCGTCCGTCTAGCTCTCCATCTTTCTGTACAACCATACATTAATATATACTTTGGGGTACCCATTTCTTATCAGCATCTCCTCTTATACCACTGAATGAAATTTGATGAGACTTTTACAAAATCTTTGTTACATATAGTGCCATTTTGCAACCCCTATTCTACTTTTAATCGGACACATATTTCAGATTTCCCATAGCAAAATATGGACTTTGCCATTATAATAACATGGGAGGCAGGGGGATCATTTTGTGAGCTCAGTGCTCACAGTACCTCTAGTTTATTTTTATTTTCATTTTCAGATATAAATGCATGCTGTGTATGTAAAACATATGTAAAGTGTTGGTGGCTTAAAAATCTGAAGACATCAATGAGAAGGAACACAAAAACCATGGTGCATAAGTTATGTCCAACAAGTCCTTTAAAATACAGGTAAAAATTACTGTACATTAATGAACAAAAATTTCTACTTTTAAGGATCCTTCAATCACTTTTCAACAAACAAACAAATTATCCTTGCTATTTTTGTCCCGCCTGCAAAGCAGAGTGACACATAGGGATCACTTTACCCGGTGTCTGTCACACATTTGATTTGAATATTTTGCACAAATTATTTGCATCGCACAATGACTTTTGTAAAATACCATAGTTACAAACTTTGAGATCATTGAAAGTGACCTTTGACTACTTTTTGTAAATAGTTCATAATGAATGTATCCGGTTCGGCTTTTGATATTTAAGAGGTAAGTCTATGCTATTTAGTATATGCACTGATTGTTGTCAGTACCAACATTATGTGAACAGTCTACAACTCTACATGTCCTTCCTCTTTGACCTACTTCGCAAAAAATACTCCAGACATTTAATCCAACATACATGTATGCCTTTTGAGTTTTGAGAGGTAGGGTATCGATAATTAATTAGCATTTATACATGTTTATGAGCTCATGACACTGTACTTGCTGGATTATGTATAGTTACCATACACATTGAAATTTAAATACTCATGTATTTCTATCAAAGTCTTACACACTTTACTATTGATGGATTTTTTTCTTAGCAGACAATAAGCACTATAATGCTAGTAGGAAATAAATAGCTGACCACTCTTAATTAAGATTATTTACACTTTTAATGATGCAATATAGAAAAGGTTACACTTCTTTGAAACACTCTAATTATATTATTCTCTATATTTTAAATTAAAATAAAAGAGCATTAGATATGTCATTTGATAATAAGTACAGGATTTTCCTTAGAAAGATATAATGGCAAGGCTTGTCAGGTTTATTGTTAAAATTTGGAACATTGTATGAATGATTTATATTTTTTTTTTTAGCTCACCTGACCTGAAAGCTTAACTAAGCATCTCATGTATTGTGATGAGGTTTTGAAATTTCTAAACTGTACAAATCATGACCCCTGGATGGTAAGATGGGGCCTTTCAATTGGGGATAAAAGTCTTTAAAAATCTTCTTCTACTGAACAACTTACTAGGAAAAAATTGAAACTTTATAGAAAGCTTCCTGAGGTAGTGTAGTTTGCAAACATTCCCAATTTTTATACTTCTTTAAAATTATGAACCACAGGTTATAGAGTTAAAATATTAATTGGCATCATCAACTAAATGTTTTTAATATTTTCAGCTATGGATTGGATTCAGCCAGAGTCACATGAGCACCATATCCTTCTTGCTCCTATGACAGAGGATCCTTGACTTGTCTGAAATTTACTGAAGCAGATGCTCCATTTGTCTGGTTATGCTATGCAATGATTCTGTCTAAATACTACAGAGGCACCAAAAGGGTATTGAACAAATCTTATGGGGGAAGTCATGAGGACACAAAGAATAACTGTCTCCAACTTTGAAGCTGTGCTTAATTTTAAGTGAAAAAGGTAATGCATGTGCACATCTGCAAATGGGTATCTGAACTTATGTAGTCAAAGTTTGTGTAGCCATGTACAAACAATTTAAGAGCCCTCTATACACTGCACACTAAAGAGTTCTGATTTGTTGTATTTTTATGCAGATAGAGTAATCTGCCCTTTGATCTAGAATAAGATAAATTGACGTGTACAGTTTATTTCTTAATTTGTGATCAAATAAAGCATTTATAACATTTTAATAGGCTAAGATGAATAGATTGAACACTTTAATTTGCTGGTATTTTGCCCATTTAAGTAAACAACAATGATATTTGTTCATCAGTACTTCATTGTCTTTGAACATTTTTCCTGGGGGTAAATGCAAGGTACACTATGTTGAACATGTAATAGATACATGTAAGCTCAACATTTAGACCCTTACACACTATAATTTTCTCAATGTCCAAAAAATCTTTTCCTTTAGTGTATAGAGGGTCCTTAATGCAATGAAATTTAAATTTCAGTGTAATGTTATATATTTAAATGTTTATGAAAAATTCAATGAATTAAATCAGATAAAACTGTTTTGTTTTATGCAAAAACTAATTAATTGCAGACTTGCTGTTTTTTACCTTCTTTTTGACCTTACTATTTTAAACTCAATTTAAAAGAAACCATTAAAGATATTTTTATCTTTATCACATATAATAAAACTTATTGGTGAAAACTTATCAACGCTGTCCATTATTTTTTTACCTTGTCGTTCCCCATGACATTTTGACTTTACTAATAGTCTTATTTTAATATTAGTTTGAAAGAAACTATTCTCAAGATTTTCTTTAAACCTCATTCACTAACACAAATTGGTCACAGCTATTCAACTGTGTCACATATTTCTGACTTAACTTTCACTGTGACCTTGACCTCAATATCTCTCATTTACCTCATCTTTAACAAAGAAGCAAAGCACATTTCTTTTCATGTTGCATTACAATGAACACTGGGCAGGGCATTCATGTACTATGGATGTGGTTTTAGTTTTCAATGATTGAAATATTTTGGTTTATTTTTCAGGAATTTGGCTCGATGAATTGATTGGGTGCTTAAGGTGTTTCACATAATTTAGTTCTGCATCCTCCTCTCTGTGAAGTATCTTACCAGACTTTATGCTACGACAGCAATTTCCAAGTTTGTGAAAGTCAAGTGTACCTACTCTGCTGCATTATTAACAGCTGAAGATGCAGTCCATTATCTGAAAGACTTATACTTAGGTACATGTTATTGTTTATAATATTATAAAAAGGTTTATTACTCCAGTCCTCCTTTGGGCTATCACCGACTACTTGGCGAAATTTATCTGTAAAAAATTTACCTTAGTTTGCATAAATTCTAATTATATTTTCATATTTCAGAATACGGGGAATATTCTTTACATCTGAAAACTGACTTTGCCCACTACCACCAGATTCAAGGTCAACACATGTGTAACAAGACATGTTGCGTCTAAATTCTTCTTGGTTGGGACCCTGGTCAACAGTGTCATTATTATAAGAATTGTGTAGGATAAGGAATGTACTAAAAATATTGCACTGCTATAAATTTTTACTATAGTACCTTTATTCCAGAGAAAACTAGAAACTTTGACAAACTATGTTGGTCTCTGTTCTGTTCAGTAATTGATATGACAATATAAATCTGAGATAAATAAAGTGAAGGAGATTTTGTAAAAAAAAAAAAAAATAATAAAATTTCAATTCAGTACCTTTTTAGTGCATAGACATACAAAATTTGGTACTAAATTCCATACATGTGTAGTTCAGTGACATATAGAAATACACTTTCTGCATAATGTCTAATTTTTAATCATTCATTTGTAAAACATGATCATTTAAATATTGCAACAAGTAACCTGTGTATTTAAAATACTTATATTGTCAAAGGAATAAGTGAAGTACTCATTGCCATTGATTGCTCTCCAACTGATAAGTGTGTTTGTTTGTATGTTGTTTAATGTCCCTCTCGAGTATTTTTTACTCATATGGAGGTGCCACCACTTGCCAATGGAGAGCTGCAAATTTTGTCGTATGCTCGGCACATAGGGCCATTGAGCAGGGAGGGATCTTTTTCATACCAGCACCTACTGTGACATGGGACCTCGGTTTGTACGGTCTCATCCGAAGGACCTGTCTCCACGTCCCACAGTGGGATTCGAACCCACGACATAAGGATCAACTCCTTACTTCGGGACTCTAGAGCAGATGCTCTAATCACTGCGCCACGCAAATCTAGAGCAGATGCTCTAAGCACTGCGCCACGCGGGCAACCTGATGAGTAAGAATTTTTTAAAACACATAAAATGGTTCAATTTCACTCTTAACCAATAACGAATCTACAAAATACAAAACTTCCATCAGAAACATTGGGAGAACATAGACTTAAGTACACGTATATAATAGCTGAACAGGTGACAAAAGAATAATATTGAAGTTAAATTATGCAACTTCTTTCAAAAGAGGGACTTGCAATGCAAGTTAACAAGATGAACATAGTTGAAATATCTGTGGAAGTAAACCAAAAATGAAGTATTTCAGTATTTGATCCTTTCATTGGCACTTGGCAGTGATGTTGTGCACTGGCAATTTTAAAGCACAATGCAGCCTCTAGTTAAGTGAACTGACCTCTAAATAAAAGAAAAGCAGGTATATTTAGACACAGTCCTGATTCAGTGAATGATGAATCTTTCATCAGATACATGTAAGATAATTAAGGACTCCTGCACTGATTTTAGAATTTGAACCTCACTATGTAGGACTATGACAAACATCTGATGTTGGGCCAGGATATATTAGCTTTGAGCAAAGTGTTATGAAGTATGACGATTTATGTAAGAGAGATGGAATGACTTGTGTCATTTTAATTAGTATCATCTATCAAGGCTGTAGCTGATACAACTCTGCAGAAGATTTAGACAGTGATATTTTGCTTTTCAATTGACAGGGGAAAAACAGGGGTTTTATCTGACTTACTCTAACAAGTTACAACTCTCCATGTGAAGCATGCATGTACATTGTATATTTAAAAATGACTGGAAGGCTTACAAAAAATCTGTGAGATAAGGTTAGGTCACATAGGTTTAAACATTGGGTTGCATCAAGTTAGTCATCAGTTTTAGCAATCATGATTGCAGGTGACCAATCACCATATCTCATGTCAAACCTAATCAGCTGTCCCACTACATGTGTAATACACTGAGAAAATCATATGAAAGTGATCGATGTATACAGTAGCTGCGAACTGAAGAAAAAAACATACAAAGGATAGAGTGTAGTTGACACTGTAATTGGATAAGCCTTAAACTTCTATATACTCTTCAAATTTATCACCGTTCACGGTAGCTCAGTCGGTAGAGCGCTCGCTTCGTGATCGGGAGGTCGTGAGTTCGAATCTCGGCCGCGACAGACCTAAGTCGATAAAAAAATAGGTAGCAACTGTTCCTTCGCCATGCGCTCGGCACTTTGAAGTGAAAGTTGCGGGTCCTTCGGATGAGACCTTAAAAACCGAGGCCCCGTGTCACGGCAGGCGTTGGCACGATAAAGATCCCTCACTGCTCAATGGCCCTGAGTGCCGAGTAAAGGTCAAAATTTGAAGCCCTTCACCGGTATATGGTGACGTCTCTATATGAGTGAAAAATTCTCGAATGGGACGTAAAACAATATACAATCAATCAATCAATCAAATTTATCATGAGTATATTCCAAATATAAAATTATGCTGAGTAATCACCCTAATTAATATGACAAGAAGATAATCTTTTTTCGTGTTTTCATTATTACTAGACTACCGATCAGCTCTTTTACAGGAGAAGAAAAAACTTGATGAACAACTAGTTTTTCTTTAGAAATATTAAGATTTTCGATGATTTGAGGACTTCACTCTATTTATCATGTTAATTACATTTATATCTTCCTCACTGAAATACCTGCATATATAATCCATATCTTATGTCTCTTTTCTTTGTATCAAAACGAGAGACTGATTGATAATTATTTTTTAACGCCGAGTCGGCAATATTTCGGCGATCAAAACGAAAGAAAAGAAAGTCCAATTGATCTACGTATGCATCACCCCGCTACTTTCGTTATTTGCAACCAATGAAAATTGTCCTTACTTAACCAGAACACTATTGCGTCATATTACCCAAAATGCAATTATTGCACATACATAACAAGATTATTGCATATACATCACAAGATTATAGAACATACATCACAAGATTTTGCATATACATCACAAGATTTTGAATATACTTAACAAGATATTGCACATACATCACAAGATTATAGAACATACATCACAAGATTTTGAATATACATCACAAGATATTGCATATACATCACAAGATTATAGAACATACATCACAAGATTTTGAATAAAACATCACAAGATATTGCATATACATCACAAGATTATAGAACATACATCACAAGATTTTGAATATACATTACAAGATTTTGAATATACATAACAAGATATAGCACATACATCAAAAGATTATAGAACATAATCACAAGATTTTGAATATACATAACAAGATATTGCATATACATCATAAGATTATAGAACATACATTACAAGATTTTGAATATACATCACAAGATATTGAATACACATCACAAGATTTTGAACATACATCACAAGATTTTGAATATACATCACAAGATTTTGAACATACATCACAAGATTTTGAATATACTTAACAAGATATTGCACATACATCACAAGATTATAGAACATACATCACAAGATTTTGAATATACATCACAAGATATTGCATATACATCACAAGATTATAGAACATACATCACAAGATTTTGAATAAAACATCACAAGATATTGCATATACATCACAAGATTATAGAACATACATCACAAGATTTTGAATATACATTACAAGATTTTGAATATACATAACAAGATATAGCACATACATCAAAAGATTATAGAACATAATCACAAGATTTTGAATATACATCACAAGATATTGAATACACATCACAAGATTTTGAACATACATCACAAGATTTTGAATATACATCACAAGATTTTGAACATACATCACAAGATTTTGAATATACATCACAAGATTATTGAATAAAGCAACGTTTTACACGCCATAACAAAGCATTTGCAATAAATATGATCTAAAAGGCTCTAAAATTGCAAAGTATTTTCATTTTAATTGTATTGAAATATTTTACTTTTTTGTCTAATTATCAATGAAAAATAGAATTAGATGTATTTTTCCAACTGAAAAAAAAGTGAAGTGCTTTAAGCTATTGAAGACTCAAACTATTGCAAAAAGATAGATGTAAGAAACTCATACTTGATGAGTTATCGGTTAGTGTGCTGCACTTATCTTTACGATAAGCCAAGGACACATATCCGTAATAAAACATGTAGATAATCCATGATGACCAGTCAAGTCTGATATATATGTAATTTCTTATCAATAACTTCGCCGACTGTAGCTTACGACTGTTATCGTTCAATGGTGTTACTTGGAGCTGTCTGGAGGTAAGTAGTTTATTATTATATTAGGTTAAAGAAAAAAAATCCACGTAAAAAAAAAATAAACAGAAATGTTGGTATTTGATTACAATAAAGAATGACATATATAACATGCATGTATATAAAAAAGGGTTATCTCATCAGTCACATAGGTTACTTAAAGACCCAATTTTTTTACCGTACGGTTACCTGAGCAGAGGGAGTTGTCTTAGTTGTACTGGTGTTATTTACCTGGAGAGCCCAAATACTCAAGATGTCAAAAATCCCTATACACATTGTAGTACACAGGAAGTCTGTCTTTGGTGATCAGGATCAACATTACACGCTTTTGTCTAATTTTAAGAGAAATTATTGTAAATAATTTTTATATTTTAATATAAAATTGGTTTTCATCGATATCTTTTGAAGGAAAAAAAAATATAAAGAAATATTTTTTTTTTTTTTAAAGAAAAAAGAAGTAAATAAAAATCACGAGTGAAAACTACAAAGCAATCATATCAATATTTTTTAATCGTCAGTAAAAGAAATCATCATTCAATAAGTTTAAATATTGAAATAAAGAGATTTCATTTATCGTGTGGACAATCCGACATGTGCCATAACCAGAATATCATTTATTTTTCTGGCCAACAATCGTGTCAAAAGTATTCACCAATGGAATTTCTGGGGTCCGTGTTTTTATGCCCTGTTCACAGATTTGTATTGTTTGTAGACTTTTAATAAAAGATCGATCACTGTTCGTTATCTTCACCCTTTTCATTATACGAATATATACATTAGAGGAAATTCGAACAGTGATTGTGACAGTTGAGTTGTCTTGGACGTCATATCGCTTACTACATGTACAAGTACCAAAGAACAATGGAGATTGAAAAAATTAATCATAAAGTCAATGTTTAATTATCTACACTCAATTATTTTTTGAAATATAATTACCAAACAATATAGCGATTTGATTTTTTTTACCAGAGTGTATACATACAAAGCGACCATGCAGTATATGAAAGCGTTTTACGCATGACCGGGTAATTGTTTCCCAAACATGCAAACTCAGATTATCAGGAAGCACAGGTAGCTGGCCTGTCAATCAAATCAGTAGCTTTTGTTTTTTTTAATGATTGACGGGCGGTATATTATTGATCTCGAATTAGGTAAATTTTGGGGGCGTTAACGTAAAATTGGGTGTTTAACTGTTATGCTAAGATCACTGCAACTGTAGAAATGTTTCCAGCTCCAGCCTTTATTCAAGAATGTATATTAATCTAAACCAGTGTCTTCTACATATTATGCAGGATTTAGCATTTCAGCTGGGATGGGCCATACATATGCATGTTATATTTATTAAAAAATGACTATTTAATTATTGGTCTCTGCAATCATATACAAATAAGCCCCTTACCATTTTAGGAGAAAACTGCATATGGTCGGCCCTTTTAATTATAATGTATTAATTCATACCTTTAGATGCCTTATTCATGCAGTAACATCTTTCGTAGAGGCAAGCCCTATACCCGCACTAAAGGTATTTGAATTCCAGAAACAGTAGTTACTGTGTTAATGCCTTATTCAGAACGGACAGTGAACTGCTTATGTCTGAAGTCTTATTCCTTCAGTCATTTGGGGAAGGAACGACAAAAAGTTAAGCAAAACCCCATGAGGTCAACTTTTAACTTTAAAATTAATTTATAACTCATCAAGCGAAGAGATAAAGAGGTTGTTTAATTAGTTACAGATTAGACCCTTTGACTAGGTGGAAATAAGAAGTGTGAATAAATGAACAGTACCTACATTTTTTTTTTCAGCAATTTCCCCTTAACATTTCATTCAATGTTAAAAATTACTTGATATGTAAATCACTTTACAGCAACAACGATCATCATCAACAACAACGTCGACAGAGTAAGGCAATTTGTCTAAAAACCAAGGCTCAAATGGAAGTGCAACCAGAATCCTTATAAAGCAATCGTCTGCAGTTCTAAATCGGCATTATGTTGGAATATATTCTTACAGTTTTGATTGTGATTATGTGTGGATATACCGTCGTTAAAAACTTTGTTTGTAAAACAGAGAGCCCGCAGCCCCCAGGACCAAAAGGATGGCCAATAGTAGGGGTGGTGTTTGAGGTTGATATTTCAAAGCTTCACCTTAAACTTTACGAATGGGCCCAAATGTACGGCGATATTTTCCAATTTCATTTATTAGGCGAAAAATTTGTCGTGATAAATTCAATAGATATCCTTAGAGACTTGTTTCTGAAGGAACCAAATGCCACCATTACTGCAGATCGTCCATTAACGTTTACCGGTAAATATGCTTTCGATGATTATGCGGATGTAGGATTTTCATCACCAAGTGTACTTTGCACAAAACGTAGGAAACTTGCGTTTCAACTTCTACATACGTATGGAAAGGGACTAACTTGCTTGGAAAGTCAAATATTAAAAAATCTACAGACATTTAAAGATGATATTCGGTCTTTATCTGGGAAGAATATTTTCCCCGTCGACTTCGTCGATGACTTTATTTTCAACACCGTTGAAGTTTTGGTAAGAATTAATGATCATACAATATATACTTCAAAGAAATTGGTAGGAAATTACATTTTAGATTATGGTTTTACTGTTCGCCTCAGGGAATTGGTTAATTTTGAAATTTTCTTTCTCTCATTCATCATTTATCTATTATTATTTCAACGTAAGTTACCTGTTATTGAACAGAACAAAGATAAGCATAGAATAACATGCATTCACTGCTTCTAGTGTTTTTAACAGTTCAGGTTAGAAATACTGAAAACAGATACTATCTTGCAGATTTGAATTAGTTTATAATAAGATAGGTTATATTTAATCAGTTATGTAGAATCTGAAGACAGAAGATTTTTAAAGACGTCACCAATCAAAACAGAGGTGTCAAGATGTACTAAAAACAGTAAATCTCCTACAGTAGAATTCTAAATAATTTTTATATTTAACCACAATTTTCAGGTTAAACACCCTTAATCTTCAAAACTTGCAATTATAGATGTTAATTAGCAGAAGGAATGATGAAGCTTTATAGTTGTTTTTAAAGAAAAACTTTTTAAAATTTCAAACAGATAATTGGTCGCAGTCTTGGAAAAGAAGGCCCCCTGCGCAATCTTCTTATAAAACAGAATGATTTGCTGAACGAGGTTGCCAACCCAGGAACAGATTCAATCTACATTGTGTTTCCTTTTCTACGATTTTTGCCTTTGCCTGGATCATTGGCTTTGCGAGAACTTAAAAAATCCCAAAGTTGTTTGTTGGATTTATTAGACACGTTATCGGTAATGTATTAATCAATACTTCATTTAATACTGTTATGTGTACATATATACAGCGGAAGTCAATATTGTTTGGCTTGTTTTTTTTCAGTAAGTGACAGTGACTAAGATTGAAATTTGAAAGCTTCGTAATCTCTTTGTTTATTAAAGATATTTGTCCATAGAATTCTTCACAAAATATTCAAATGAAGTAAAATAATAGGAATTTTTGTGTCACACTTAGGCTCGGATATCAATTTTTGGAGTAGTTGACCTTTTTTGTCTTACCGTGGTAGGTGTAAGGTATTTTGTGAAAGGTCCTCCCCAAATCTGTATGTACATAGTACAAAACTGTAAATATTATCGACCGAGAGTAGGTTGAAACCAAGAAAAGGACTAAATATCCAGCGATGTCCATAATTATAATATTGATTACATACGCAAAGGGTTGGGTTGTTTTTCTGCTACTCTTTACATAAAAAATAAATCAATTGCATGATTAGTTGAATCACTATACGTACAGCAGTATACTTTAATGAGGCTGGGCGGACAACGAAGTATCCAACAGATTCATATATAAAAGTATGAAATATGATTTTCTAGCCTTATGCTATTATTCAGTAAAGAAAAACCATGTGTTCCAGCTAAATATTTAATGTAATATCCTATATTTTTATACAGAACTCTTATTTTTGGATGTTTAAGTAGTCTGCATATGGTCATGCCCTCTTAAAGTACGAGGGGCGATCAAAAGGTTTGCAAACTAATTGCAAACTAATTGAATAACTTCCATAAAAAATCAAGCTTGGTTTCAGTGTTTTTTTAAGACCTCTCATGTTTTAGTACACACATGCCATCGTTCTGCCAATGCACGAAACATATGGTCCAGATAGTCATGTAACATGCTCCGCAGCGTACTGTTCAAAGCAGCCCAAACGCAGGTTAATTTTATAATAAGAACAGCCCATGTGTCACAAATTGCCAAAACTCGGCCATATGATAGGTGGATTAGGATTTCTTTTCCCAGTATTAGCATGGTGTCCATCACAACCCGACTCCTCTTTGATGCGTCGTGTTTCCAGTGTGGATCAAGAATGGGACATTTCCCTTTATCATACTTGATTTGTTAACAGTCTAAAGAAACTGAAATTTCAGTGGATTTAGGTTTTTTTATTGTTAAGATATTCAACTATTTTTCTGACTGTGATTCGGCGATTTTTTATTACAAATTCCTCACCTAAGTACACATCTCTTTCCAAACTCACTTTCACCTGGCACCAAAACGAGCATCATATTTTACCATCTCCCTTCCTTTACTAAAACAATCCATACAATTACTAATTGAATTTTTTTTGGCACGTCCTTTGTCGCCATTAACCTTGTACAAATTATTATGAATTTCTGCAAACGATTTTCCAAGATTTACGTAAAACTTTACAGCCGTTCCTTTCTCTAGTAGGATTGAGTCAGCCATTTTTCTAACATGTCATCTACATATTGACGACATTGTAACGCATAAACAAGTAGCAAAATATTATGTAACACATAATATTTATAGACCATATTTATAAATGTATATAAATGCCAAATTTCATTCTGATCTGAATTGTGTTTATTTAGACAAAGGGATAATTCACAAAATTTTTGATCACCCTTCGTGATTGTCAATAGTAAATATCCTATATTACTTTGAAATTTTGACGAATTATATGTTTGTTATATCTATCAATTTTTTTCCTTAGTAGTATAAGCAGCCTGGATGGCTTGGTCAACTGAGTGCACTTTTTGTCCCCCCAGATCCTGGATGGCTGGGTCAACTGAGTTCACTTTTTTTGTTCCCTGGCCGGTTCAATCTAGTATACATCCTGGAAAAACCCAAGCAAAAGGGGGGTACGTTTAATCTACGTTTGTGCTGAGTCAGTCAATACATAGGCAATACACAAACTTGGCATCGATTCAAATCACAGCTCGGTATGCATTGTGACGTCATGTGTCATTCAGAGCAAGCCTCTCTCTCTCTATTTTCTGAAAACGGAAAAAACAATAACACAGTAAAGTGTGTAAGATGATTTATTAAAAAAAATGTGTACATAATTACTTTTTCTTCTGGAGTTTTAGGGGCTGTTTCTTCTCCGTCTGGGTTGTAGTAGCAGGAAGTTTCCTCTTGTTGTTAACTGGAATTTTATCCTGTTGACTGGTCTTATGTTCCTGATGAGTGGTCTTGTTTTCTTGAGCCTTTTTCTCCAGTTTTTCGACTTCTTTAACAAATTCCATACTATCATCTGTGCACTGATGGGCCCAATGTCCAAAATTTCCACACTTGTAGCATAAGTTCTGTTTTTTCTGGGACAGTCCGGAGCCCAATGTCCTAATTCTTTACATATGAAACATGGGTCTGTCTGTTTACTTTTCTTGGCAGCTCCTGTGTCTTAATTTTTCTTGGCAGCTCCTGTGTTTTCATTTTTCTGGTTTCCTCTCATTTTTTCTTCCATTCTAGCGACTTTAACTTCTAATCGGGACAATTTTCCACGTATCAAACAAAATTCACTGGTGTTGTACTCTTTCAGTTGAGTCAGCATGTTGACAATGCCATCCAAAGTGGTGGTTAAGATGCCCATATCTTCCTTTGTCATGGGTTCTGGCATATTATAAAGTCCCAGATCAAATCCGATCGGATCCTGCGTGTCAGGCATTGTCGGTAGAGCATATCCTAACCCTTCATTGGTAGCTGGAATATAATTACGGTTTTCCACGGAATTCATCATCGCCTGTGCCATATTTCTACGTCTGTCAAGTTCGAAGTGCCCAGTAAGAATGATCCTGAATTTCCAGCTCTGGTTTATATACCCTTTTGGATTTCGTGTGCAAAAATATGTTTGACTTACGTTTTGTACCCTCGCGCTTAGCACCCTCTCTCGTTTTACCTACGTTTTGCTGAGTCAGTACACTGTACGTCCTGTGTACGTCTTGTATAGATACAGGGGTATAAATAAGAAAACATTTCTGGTCATTTCTTCACAATTGACTATCATGTCAACACATAAACACACTCACTCTTTAGTGTTGGAAGGGTATGATTTTTTAATGCGATGTACAGAGAAAAATCAAGAAGCTTTACCCCCGGAGGCGGAACCAGTGTTCCAGAGAGCGACGACCATCATAGAAAATACTCAAAACTTGTGGTTACAATGCCTGGCTTTATTACATCATCCGACACTGGGGAGACTAGCGATTATACATTTTCTTTGTCAACGGATCAAAAAGACTCTACCAGAAAAAATGTACGGGATGAAAATGAGCGAATATTTAGGAAAACCTTACAGTTTTCTATGTCATCCCGAAGGGAGCAAAGTATGTCTACTCTGGAAGGAAATAGAAGCGGTAGAGAAAATATGCATCCAATACGGGATGAAATATGTAGAAATTTCAGACATGCTAAGAAATGCGTAACTTTTGATACCAGCCTCAATGAAATTTATCATTTACCACCCGAAGATCGAAAAAGTCCATGGATGGCAATAGTAGCAGATCGATTACAATTTCAGAGGAGAATTCGACAGTTTGAACAATTATTAAAGAAAAAATAAAGGATGTAAACCACAATAAGTCTTTGTTATTATTTCTATACAAATATGACGCCATCTTGTGCCCTTGTTTAGACGCTGAGATTTTTTAGACGCTGAGATTTTTTTTTTTTTTGTTTTTGTTTTTGTTTTTTTTTTTTTTTTGTTTAGTAAGAAAAAAAATCTATTCCCATTTCAATTAAAGTAGATACAGATTGATTTTAAACTAATCCAGTTCTATTTTATCTCAAAATCTTTCAGGATTCCTAAAAAAAAAAAAATCATGCCTATGTGTATAGAATGCTGTGCCTTGTAATAAGACGCTGTGTTTTTTCAATATTGTTATTTATAAAACATCTAGACATTCCCACTGGAAATAAAGTCGATTCAAATCGTTTTTCAACTAAACTGATTTTATTTATTTAAAAATTCCAGTCAGAAAAGGTCATGATTTAAAAAAATCCTATATTCTCTATACAAGTCTATACAGTGATTTTCTAAAAAAAAAAAAAATGGCCGACCTTCGCCTTCTTGTGTCTATGCTTAAACAGACTCTGGGTATATTTTTACTCTTGAAACCATTCCTTTGATTTAAAAACAGCATCAACACTTTTCCCTAGGTTTAATCCCATTGTATAGATTAAGTTTTCCTTGTATCACACTCTAAAAAGGTTTAAAATACTTATTTTATGTATTCAGGTGACCCGATTTTAGCCATTCGGTTCAACATCAATGCTTCTTTTCTAGACCACAGATAAATGTCATGCATCAAAAATATTATGAAATCATGCCTGAAACTTGCCTTCATCTGATGGGTAAGATGTTTGAAAGTATTTCTAATCCTATAATAAGTTATTCACTCCAGTGTATAGTTTGTGAAGCACAAAATAACACAATTTTACGTCGCCATGATTTTTTTGGCTCTCGGTTTAGGGTGCTCTCTTTTACGCTCGTGCTGTGCGCATAAATACGGCAGCTTGCCAGAGCTCGGTGTCATTCTGTTAGTAGCTGGTTTCCAGTCACCGTATCAGTATGGCTGAGGAAGACATTCCTAACTACTTTTTGGTTGATGGCGTTGAGGTCGTAAATGTCTGGATTGTCCGGGACACAAACACCGGGACAGAGGTAGCTCGCTGGCCGATAGCTACTCTGGGCCTAGCCAGTGACCTGTTGATCGGAATGAGAAAGACACCGTAGAAGAAAACGAAGATCGCCGTCTAACAGTGATGAAGATGACCAGCCAAGGAGGAGGAGGAGGACAGATTCAACACCATCTGCTTCGTATTCGGCCCCTCCGAGTAGTCCGGAACTACTCGAGGACACCCCGAGAAGCCCGTTCCCTTCAAGAAGACCACCAACTCCTACCTGGTCACCCAGTCATCCCCCGGGAGCAACTGCTGGACAGTGGGATTCCTCCGTAGATTAGGATTGGACCCCTCCCGTTAACAACGATTGGGCTGG